ACCAATCGAAATAATTGCACATGTCTATTTTAAATGAAACTTTCTCTTTATCTTTGTGCGTAACACATATATTCATCATCATAATGAGGTGACTACTTATAATTCATGAGATGTTAGAACGATTGTCTAAATACCAATCTCTCTAGTCCAAATTGAGACCAGAATGAACAGTCTGCACCCCATATTTATCTTGCTTTTTTTTTTATGTGTAGTATGATCAAATGAATGAACATTCATTATAATTGTTTTCTCTTGACATGAAGCCATAAATTTATCTTCTGTCATCGCGTAGAGATAGTGAAGCAAGTTGCTAAATTATCAGCTTTTATTTTACACTATTCTTAGATTGTGGATGAGGTTTCTCAGGTTGCTGAGTTTATAGAAACTATGAAATCTAAATTTTTTTATGAAGTCTCATGCTTTTGCTGTCATACTCTTGATGTTGCAAATAATAATGCTCTTGTGGTAAGAGCTCTAAGTGACATTAAGGGATGTATAACCATGCGGTTCTGTTTCTTGGGTAATTTGCTGCTAATTGGTATTGCAAGTAACAAAAATGAACAAGTAAAATTATAGCGCTAATTCCCGTCTACTCACAGTCACACACTCGGATTTAGCACACCACAGTCATGAAATTGCAAAACTAAAAAGTATTCAGAGAATCAGAAAAAGCACCTAAAAAACACCGAAAAGAAAAAGTATAGACAACCCAAAATATTACGAAAGGAAAAAAAGAGAGAAAAGAGAAGAAGATCTGGGACAAAGTTAAAAGCGGAACACGCTTGTAGCTACACCCAGCAAGAACAAAGAGAGCTTTAAGAGCATGTGGAGATTTCCGAGAGAAAGAAACTCTTGAAAGAAAGGGAAACACATACGATTGTTGTCTCTAAGAAAATATGTGGAAAGATCTTCAGTGTACACGTAGAAGTATAACTAAACAATACAACTAAACATATTGAAAAACACTCTCATCTTATAGAGTACTTAACTATATTGAGATATGAGGGATTCCCCTCAGAAAATAGAACTAGATAGAGGAGTTGATCATGACTACTGTTGACCTTGTGGACGGAAGAGTTGATCATGGCTACTACTGATTTCTTGCGACCACAAGAGCATGAATCTGATAGAAGTATATTGGAAAACATTCACTTCGATCCCTTAAAACCACAAGAGCATAATGCTGATAAAAATTGTACTGAAAATACATAACATGACGATTACAATATAATAATAACATGGGAAGAATAAGAACTTCGCTCGCGTACAAAAGATTTGCCAGAAACTCAAAGCATTTGAATTTATTCACCGAGTGCAAATCCCATGTGTGGATTGTGTATTGTATTAGTTTAAAGTCATCTTTTTTTTTGAATTTGGGTGATTTTTGTAGAATATAATTATCCATGTAAATTCTTTTCTTTGATGACTGTCTTACTTCGGTTATTCTTTTCTATTTATCAAGGAGGAACATGTCAAGATTAAAGAAGGATGACAAGAACAATTTGCGTGATGATGGAGAAAGCGTCAAGCATAGAGAGAAAGAATGATGAGGAGAGGGAGCTTCCCATAAACATTAAAGGTAACATGTTCAGTGCAAGACTATCAAGATCATCAAGCTTAAACTTTGAGCAAGTCCAACAGAATGTTGTTGTTGTTGTTGTTGCCACCAATATTATTGCTGCTTTCTGCATTATTATTAGTTATAGGAGGAGGAGGCATCATCATCATTGCAGGAGGACATAAGATTGCATTTTCACTGTTGTTGTTGTTGTCCATTAACATTTTTTTTTCTCTGAGTTTCTTATAACTCTTTTTGTTGATTTTGTTCCTTTTGTTTTTGCCTATGAAACCATAAAACTCCCTAAACTTTGAACAAGTCTAATCTACCTCTTTTACTATTGTGGCCGATTATAATGGAAGAAAACTGTCATTTCAGTATTGTAGTTGCGCTCCCATAGATGTAAAAAGTGTCATTTGGTGATCATACAATATCTGAGAGTGGATAATTGTTCCAAATTATATCTAACTAATATCCAGTGATATTGTCCATATTTAGTGATCATTTATATGCATCAGATCACCTTTCCTGTCACTTCATGTCAAATAAAGTTAAAAAAAAATAATTTCAACTTTTATCATATTGGGCCCGTGTTGGCACGGGCTAACTCCACCTAGTTTCTTTTAGAAGTATTGGCAATATAATCAACTCTTATGTAACAAACCTTTGCCTACAAGCTTTTGAATCAGGCCCTCTCCCAACAGGTATCAATGATACCTACCTTTGTTTTATACAAAAAAAAAATTCAAATGCTAACAACCTTAAAAAAAATTGGCCAATATGTAACACCATCTATAAAGTGGTTACAAAGATCATTGCTAATAGATTAAAATTATAGTAACAATTACAGCCCTTACCAATTTAGTTTCATACGAGCTAGTGACAATGCTATAATCATTGAGGAATTTATAATAAAAATGCATAAACAATTAGGATCAAAAGCTAATATGGTCCTGAAAATAGATCTTGAAAAGGCTTTTGATCGTTTGGAATGGTCTTTTATCTATAGAACTCTCCGCCACTTGATATTTCCTCCAAAGATCTCCAAACTCGTCATGAATTGCATCACTACTAGCAAAATCTCTGTACTAGTGAATGGTAGTAGAAGTCAATTCTTTTATCCAAGTAGAGGTATTAGACAAGGGGATCCCTTATCACCCTACATATTGATACCCTGTATGGAAATGCTATCCACCAAAATAATTTATAATGTTGATATTAGAACTTGGACTCTAATTAGAATGGGGAAAAAATTAATGCTTTTTATCCCATCTATTCTATGTGGATGATCTTACTTTAATGTGGAACATTGACAAAAAATCCTCAACTACTATTCTTACCTGCCTCAAGAATTTTTGCTCAATATCAGGGCAGAAAATAGATTACACAAAATCCAAAATCATCGTTTCAAAAAACTGCTCCAACACCACCTCAAAAGCCCTAGCTAAACATTTTAACATTAAAATTAGCAACAACTTTGGAAAATGCCTGGGATTCCGATCACTAACACCAATCCAAAACCATCTGACTACTAATTCATCCTAGATAACATGATTAGGAAGTTAGCCTCGTGGAAATCAAATTTTCTCAATATGGCGGGTGGAACTACACTGGCCACCTCCTCTTTAAATAGTATGCCCAATCATATCATATAATACAATTGCCTTCCTACAAAAATTCTCAAATATATTGACAAGATTCAAATAAACTTCTTATGGGGTTCGACCAATACCTTCAAAAAAATTCACCTCATTAATTGGAAAACTGTTACTAGCGACAAGAAAAATGGAGGTCTTGGTATCCATGCAGCTAAAGATAAAAATCTAGTAAATTTGGCTAATCTTACTTGGAGATTAATTCACAACACTAATAAACCTTGGGCCATAATCCTCTCTTCAATTTATGGCTCGACAAATAACTTTAAAAACTCATCTTTCATATGGAAAAGCATAGTCAAGGGTTGGGATATATTTAACAAGGGGATCAAATGGATTCCAAGCACTCACTCGACTATAAACATTTGGCACTCAAGCTGATTCCCAAGTCTCCAAATTTTAGACTAATCGTTGAGGGTCCTATCACAAAGATGAACAGTAGCCTGACCATTAGTGATAGTTTGGTCAATAACAAATGGGATCCGGGAAAATCTCATTCGAATTACCTCAACCCATAAGAAATAGTATCCTATCCATATACCATAGGGATTGCATCAAAGACACCCTGACTTGGGCCCTAAAAGGAGATGGTAAATTTTCTTCGAAAAGTTGCTATAAGCTAGTTAGCTCCAATGAAAAAATAACACTGATTTTAGCTGGATATGGGATCTTCGCTGCCCCAATAAGATTAAGTTTTTTTCTGCGAAAATGTCTTCACAATAAACTTCTCAGTCGATCATATCTTCACTATATAGGTATTAATATAGACCCCATTTGTCATGTTTGCAAAAAAGAAAATGAATCTATCGACCACAGTTTTATTAGATGTGATGTAGTTCTCCAATTCTAGGATATGATAGGTTATAAGATCCCTCCTCATCATAACACTTCACACTGGCTCACTAATATAAAGGACCTAACTACCTTTCATGGGTAGATTTATACCCTTTTGTTCTATAAAGCATTTAGCTCAACCGTAATAAAAATAATGATGATAACACCACTTAAAATTTCATTATTAAGAACTTTACTGCGTTAGCGGTCGAGTACAAGCTACTAACGCAAAAAGAACTAACTACTGTTCAAACCCATGCAATCAATGTTGCATGGCACAAACCCCACAAAGGTTTTATAAGCTCAATATCGATGATGCCTTTAGAAAAAAAGAATATTTAGGGGGATTAGATGGAGTATTCAAGAACAGTAATGGTCACTGGATAGCAGGTTTTCAACATCACTACTCAGCCATATCATCCCTACAAACAGAGCTAGAAGTGCTCAAAGAAGGCCTTAACATAGCAATGACCAAGAGATTTACTCCATTGGTCATAGAACAGATGCAACAAAGGTAATCAAAGCTTTTTAATATAGATGTGAATCTCATGACATGATTGTTTGCTTTTGCAGGCGGTTAATGCTCCAGCTGAAGCTGAAGCAATCATCAATCCAACATAACTTTAGAGAAGGAAACAAAGTAGCCCATAAGCTGGCTAAGGAAGCTCTCAATCTTCCGAAGGAGCATCTACTGCTAGACAGGCCGTCTTCTTATGTAATAAATAAGCTGGAAACATATAGGGTTGGCTATGTTTATTTTGTTAAAAAAGTAAGTACTGAAGTATGCTGTAAGCTTGCCAACTTGGGCAATATTAATGTCCTTAGGACATATAGTATATCTGGTGATGTAACAAACAATATTCCGTAGTTTTTATAATATATATTTCCTATTGTCTAAAAAAAAATTAAATTACTCGATAAAATAACATGTTCAAATTTTTAATGACTAAGAAGCATAAAGAAATTGTAATAACACAAGAGGAAACTTGCCTCCCTCTAAAAAATTTTCCTTTTTCATTCTTGGAGAACAATCCTATTAGTAAGAAAAATGAAGAACAAGGAGGGAGAAAGAAAAGTTGTACAATTATTAATTGTATTTTCTCAAGAAAAAAAGGTCTTCTTCGAGTTGATTTACAGCACATGAGAAAATTGAATCCATCCATTGTTGTAGAGAATCTTGTTCTTCTGCAGGTGCAATGTTACTTGAGGATTCAGTAACAGCTGATACTGTTGAAAATTTGATGGATTCTTCAGCTTCTAAAGAAAGTGTAGGGCTGTAACAATTAGACATAGTTTTACAACTTTTGTTCCATAAATCCACATCAAAATTTTCACTCAACATATTGTGGTATGCATTGTTTGACACTGAAAAATCAGTAGCATTTTCAGTACAATTCTCTGCTTCATTGCTTTTATCATATGTCTCTGTTTTATAATGATTTGGTAAGTTAAGTTCCATGATTGTATCATCTGGTTCTTGTTGGTATTTTTCTTGGTCAATTGGCTTGTGAGTTAAAGGGTCTATTCCCACTTGCTTTAATTTCTTCTTAATTCGAGTATTCCAATGGTTCTTGATTTCATTGTCTGTCCTCCCTGGAAAATGTGATGCTATCTTAGACCACCTGCAAAAAAAATATTTAAAGGGTTAAATAAGAAGAATTTTTTAAAAAAAAAGGTTAGTCGTGCAGCTCGTGCTAGTGAATTTTGAATATTGAATGGTTAAAAGAACAAAGGTATTATTGAAAAATTAATAAAGACCTGTTACCAAAACGAGCATGAAGCTCAATAATCTGATCTTCTTCAGCTTCAGATAGTGCCCCTCTTTTGAGATCAGGTCTCAAATAATTAATCCATCTCAATCTGCAACTCTTTCCGCATCTTTGCAAACCTACCACACATTTCATGACATGTAGGATATAATTAAGTAATTAAAAATGTTTACTGTCTAACCGTTTAAACTTTTAGATGAGATGGTCACACAGTTCAATATGTTGATAGAGGCCTTGGGTTCAAGTATAGCTTGTCTAATAGAATTACTATGTGCTTGGCTCAAGAAAATAGTTTGACTGACACGCGAGGAGCCTGTGGAAAACACTATTAAGTACTCAACTACAAGTGTACTATCTTTAATAGCTTATACAAAAAAAAAAAATTTGACTATGCTGATCAAATTACCCTAATTGTGTATAATAGTTGTACTCTTACAAATATAGGGACATATATACAACAACAACAACAAACTCAGTGTAGTCCCACAAGTGGAGTTTAGGAAGGGTAGAGTGTACGCAGTACTTACCTTTACCTTTAAGAAAGCAGAGAGGTTGTTTCCAGTACACCCTCGGCTCAGGAAAGATAAATGGAAGGGTAATAACAAGCAAACCAAATCTGACACCGAATCGAAAATACTAACGGAACTAACACCAAGAAATGCAAACAGAAAACCGAAACAAAGGATATAACAAAATGGGGACATATATAGAGAGAGTAGAAATATATAGAAAACCTGCAAGCTTGGGAATGGTTCGCCAACATTGGATGCCATTGTTGAGAATAAAATGGACGAGCTTATGGTCTTCTTCAATAGTCCATGGACCTCTCTTCAATCCAACTCTATCACAACAAGGCTGCCTTCCCATTTTCAACTCTTAAGTCTATTTCAAAACTGGAGATGAAACTAGTAAACAGAAGAAGAAGCCAACATATATAGGTACTAATAATTATTACAATCGTTTGTTTCAAGAAAAGGAATTTATATTCGAAACAAATAAAAGATACCAACAGATAAGCGAGGGACATATAACAAAAGAGATATTCTTGCTTAATGCATGATTGAATGGGGAATAAAAATTGTAAAGGTATGCGCATGGAGGATGTGTTTATATATAATTAATAAAAAGTGGACAGCCACCATCACTTTCAACATTGCCATGGCAGCTTCTTAGCTAATCATTTATATTAAAAAACAATTGACAAAAGTCATCTTCTCTTTGTGCTTTTTCCTTTAAAACTCTAAGGGGTCGATTGTGCTTGTTTAATTATACGATGAACAAGAATACATAAATTGTTATGTAGGGATTATCTAATTTAAGGCATTTTGTCTTTAAATACTCTTATCCATGTAGTATTAATGCAATTTTATCCTATGTATGTTTTATTTCGTACAAAATAATACATTATTCTTGTATAAGTTATATCAAAATTAATTGGTAATAAATTGTTTGGTTTCTGGAATTAAATTTGGCATAACTTAAGCGGAGTTTAGCATCGAAAATCAAATGATGTATTAGCCATACCACCAGAGATTATATTAGTTATACAGAACTGTATACCGAAAATCAAACATCCTATACGTAAATATAAAATTTTATAGGGATTTTGCATTTTTTTATACCTAACAACAACAACAACAATAATAAAAAAACTCAGTGTAGTCCCATAAGTGGATCTATGGAGGGTAAAGTGTACGCTGACCTTATCCCTGCTTTTAAAAAGACAGAAAGACTATTTCCGGTAGTCATTTTCTTTTACCTCAAACCAAATAAACCCTAATCAAGGGAAAGAGAGCTACCATAATATCAACAGGTGTAGGTCAGTCCGATTTCATATTTAGAAATTTCTAGGCTTATATATTAATTGCTAAAGTTTTTTCTTTACTAAAGTATCTTTTATTTTAATACTCAAATTGATGAGATGCCCCTGGTCCCTTAAAAGCTGGCTAGTTTTGTCGTTGAGGCCAACTCCTTTTCCCGTCCATCCAGTATAATTCAACGTACTCGTACTAAAGGTAAGATACAGAAGATACACCATATAATCATTGCAATTATTATGTTTAGTGCTTTTGTTAGTTAGGAATTTATTATGGTCTGTTAAATATTTTATGAACTTGAATCCTTGACTCTCAAAAATAAACAAATCAAACATGACATGTAAGGTCGAAGTGAATATGCCTTCCCAAATACGATAAGCACCAGTGACAATTCTCGCTGGTTCAAAGTTCAAATTAGAACTTAGACAACGTAACTAAGGAATCTTTTATAATGTGGAGTTTCTTGTTCCCTTAAATTGCCTAATATAATGTAATGATCCGGCCGATCGTTTTGTATATTGTAGCCTCATTCACCTATTTATTGCTTCTTCTATGTTCATTTTTGGTTATGTAAGTTACTGGGGTGGTTGGTTTGGTACTGGGGTGTTTTGGAGTGAATTGGACATTTAGTCTCAAAGTTGGAAGCGTAAGTTGGAAGAGTTGATCGGAGTTTGACTTTTGTAGACGACTCCGGAATGGAGTTTTGATGGTTCCTATAGCTTCGTATGGTGATTTTGGACTTAGGCGTATGCGCGGATTTGGAGGTCCGTAGGTTGATTTGTTGCATTTTGGCAAAAGTTAGAAAGTTGAAGGTTTGCAAGGTTGAGGGATTCGACCGAGAGTTGACTCTGTTGATATCAAGTTCAGATTTTAGTTCCGGGAATTGGAGTAGGTCCATTTGTCATTTATGACTTGTGTGCAAAGTTTGAGGTCATTCAGATTTGGTTTGATATGATTCAACATTAGTTTTAGAAGTTGGAAGTTCATTAGACTTGAATCGATGTACGATTTGTGATTTTTGTGTTATTTGATGTGATTTGAGGCTTCGAGCGAGTTCGATTATGTTTTAGAAATTGGTTGTTGTATTGGTAAAAATAAATATTACACGTGGATTTATATGAGTGGTTGATATGACAAGACATGTGGATCATTAAGAAAGCGACAACTGGAAAGGTACATTAAAAGAGGCACGGGTCACAATGGACATGGGCAAATCACCCACGAGAAGAAAGTGTACGGCCACTCAAGTTTAAATGATTACATGAAGAGGCACCGGCGAAATGAATCAAGACAATAAAGAGGAAAGGTTCATGAATCATCAATTAATGAGTGTGAATGGTCTCAAGCGTTACAGAATCTTCATAAACAGCTATTATAATATCTCATTAATGCTCATAATGACTCAGTCATAAAAAGGGAAAGACGTTGTACTTACAGACTCCTATTTAAGGGAAAGAGATATCATTTGTACAAACATGTTCTGATAATTATTGGAATATAATTATTTTCTTTTGCTTTCTATTGAATACTTTGTTATTTCTTATTCTGATTTGCTTTTTTATCACTGTGAGAATATTGAATTTCTTGATTATCAGTAGTCCGAGTACTTCTAAAAATAGGCTTTGACCGAAATACCTATTTTTTGGTTAAACAAATTGGTTCCTTTGCCGAGACTCTAATAATCTTTTCACTTTCCAAATTCATTTTTTTGTCAAAAAATCAAGTCGACCAATGACAAAAACCAACAAAACTAGCAAGATCAGCTAAACCAGCAGAATCAACAAGAGAATGCCACCCTAATCCCTTCACCCCAAAATTTTCCTCGACACTCCCGAGACAATTCACATGATAGATCAACATCATATGTGAATAATCAACAAAGGGACGATCAAAATGTTGATGAGGCATCAAAACAACTAATTGCAGAATATGTGAACAATGCTCTTCAAGCTTTCGTTAGCGGATTACCAACTGTATCACCAACTCCTCCACCAAACAACACCGCAACCATAGAGAATCCACGCTCAGGACGCGCCAATTCGGGCAGCAGAGGAACTCCCAGTGAATCTCGCGATGGAGGGTCAGGTATCCCATTTAATTCTGATTTACAAAGTTTAGTACTAACTTTGCAGAAACAGCTCAAAGAGAAAAACGATCGCATAGAACAGCAGATACCTGGTGTTCCACCCGTAATCAAAGGAGTGGATATTGATAAATATTCTCAACAACCTTGGAAACCAAGTGTCGCTCACTTGCCGATTCCAAAAAAGTTTAAGATGCCTGATATCCCGAAGTATGATGGGACCACCGACCCACGAGATCATGTAACTGCATTTACAACTGGCATGAAAGGCAACGATCTGACAAAACAAGAGGTTGAATTAGTACTGGTCAAAAAATTTGGTGAAACACTCACAAAAGGAGCATTAACATGGTACTCTCTTTTACCTAAAAACTCCATTGATTCTTTTGCTGAGCTTGCAGATTCATTTATAAAAGCACTCTAGAGAGCTCAAAAAGTCGAAAAATGAATGGAAGACATCTTCAAAATAAAACAAAGAGATACGGAGATACTCAGGAAATTCAAGCATAGATTTCAATGTGAAAGAATGACGCTACCACATATACTTGATAATTGGGTGGCTATGGAATTTGCAAGCAACCTAAATGAAAAAAACTCAGAAGCCATGGGGAGACTCAAAGAAAGTTTACAAGAATTCCTTGCAAAAACTTGGAATGATGTTTACAATAGGTATAACACAAAGTTGCGGATTGAAGAAGACACTATCACTCAGTCACGGGGAGATGAAAGAGTAAGTTTGAGGCGACCAGAAACGAAAAAAGGTCCGGTAAAAATAGGTATGAGTCTTACATGGAACCATCAAGAAGAAATTCACGATCTAAATAGGAGAACCTGAGGTACGGTTCCAGATCAAGGGACAGAGACGCAGGTTCGTCATCCAAGTTTGGGAAGGAACGAGACACACGGGATAGCGACAGAAGCACAAAAGCAAAGATTGGTGTTTATAGTTTCAACGTTAGCTTATCTGAGTTGGTATTTGTTTTAAGAAGCATGGGAGATAAGGTGCAGTGGCCAAAAGAAATGAGATCGAACCCCAACCGAAGAAACCTAAATTTCTGGTGCGAGTTTCATAATGATCGCGGTCATAAAATGACAGATTACATATTGCTACAAGGTAAAGTAGAGCACTTATTAAAACAAGGCTATTTAACCGATTTGTTCAGTGAGAAGGGTAAGTAAGCATATATGAAGAATATACAAGAGCCGCCAAAACCTCCGTCTCCGAAAAAACGGTTAACGTGATAACCAGAGGCGAGGAAGTCAACAGTGTGACATATACGACTGCAAAAAAGATGTCAAAAGTCAGTGTTACCCAAGGAAAGCGAGTTCGCCAAGTTTTGGAAGAAGACGGTATCACATTTGATGATGCAGACGCAGATGGCGTGATAATCCCACACAATGTGTGAAACGAGTTTTGATTGATCCAGGTAGCTCTGTAAATATCATCCTTTCAAGAGTGGTAAGTGAGATGCAAGCCGATGGCAAGTTGGTACCCAAAGCACGTACTTTATCTAGATTTGACAATTCAAGCGTTGTTACAAAAGGGGAGATAATGCTCACCACATTTGCAGAAAGAGTAGTCAAAGATATAAAATTTCAAGTAATAAATATGGACATGACGTACAATATGATCCTTGGCAGACCTTGGATTCATGAGATGGATGTTGTTCCATCTACCTTACATCAGGTTATCAAGTTCCCTTTGCAATGGGGAATAAGACAAATCCGTGGTGATCAACAGGCTTTTTGAAGCATTAACTCAGTGGCAGATTCAAGAGTAAAAAATGACGTTGCAGATGAAAAATAGCAATTATAGAATTCAGTTGAGGATTTAGCAACACAAACCTCAACTGCATATGAACAAACAGATGTAGACTCAAGGCCTGATACTATTCAAGAGCTAGAAGAGAATGAAAACATCAAAACAACAATTGAGGAACTAGAAGAGGTGATGCTGTTTATACATTGGCCAGACATAAAAGTATACATCAGCACCAACCAGAGCCCAGAGATAAAAAGGTAAGTTAATTGAATTCTTAAAAGCTAACTCAGATTGTTTTGCTTGGTTGCATTCAGATATGATAGATATACCACCGGAGGAGATGACCCATAAGCTGAATGAAGATCCAACGTATCCACTTATCAAACAGAAGAAAAGGAAGCAAGG